ATGTTAAGTGAGCTGCTCATGACCACAGAGCCAGGGCTGGAACATGAGCACCAAACCCTGGTACCTGGAGAAGAGCCTGGGAGGGCAGGTGGTGGGCAAAACCCCAACCCTTCCTCCCCCGCCCCCCACCAGGAGATGAACACCTTGCGTACGAAGTGTGGACAACTGTATGCCTACGACTGGATCAGTCCCCCGCTGGTGTACACACAGGTGAGGACTAGGCCAGTGAACATGCCCCTTTGGAAACCTGAGGCTTGGAGGACCTAGGAAGCAGTCTGTCATGGCAAGGACTCACTTAGGGGCTGAGAAAGAGACTCTCCCTGGGAGCTGGATCTGGACTTGGCAGGTTTTCTTAGTGCCAAGTTTGAAGAGTCCAGGCTCCTGTCTGGTCCAGCCTGGTGGAAACAGTGTGATTATCCCCATTTTGAAGAGATCACAGAGACCCAAAGTCACAGGAGTGTGCAAGTCAGAGCAAGGCCTTGTCCTTCCCACGTTAGGAGCCTCCTGACCCTAGGTCCCACCCAGCCCCTTTCTGCTACCCCCTTTCCCACCCAGGTGGTGACCGTGGCGGTGTACAGCTTCTTCCTGGCTTGCCTAATTGGGCGGCAGTTCCTTAACCCAGCCAAGGCCTACCCTGGCCACGAGTTGGACCTCGTTGTCCCCGTCTTCACATTCCTGCAGTTCTTCTTCTATGCTGGCTGGCTGAAGGTGAGCCTCCCGGGACAAGGCTGAGCTGCGGATGTGACCGGAGGGGTCCTGGCCAGCCAGGAGAGGAGAGTCTCCAAGGTTGGAAGTAGGCCCTCTGGTGTCTCCATCTCCTTACATACAGAGAAAGTGAGACTCAAAGGGGAGCAGGACCTGCACGAGGCCTGTATCTGATCGCAATGCTTCATCTAAGGCCTGGAACTTAGCAGGCAAGAGAGACACGGGGAAAGCTCAGTTGTCAAACCATTTGATGTATCCTCAGGAGAATGTTCTCCAAACGTTTGTCCAGAGTAAGGGGAATGCACGGAATGGGAGTGGCAGTCAGTGGCAGGTCGTACTGCTGAGGCAACTTCTCACTGTCCCTAGCCATTAGGCTCTGATCCCAAATGTGTTCCCTCTGCTTAGTAAAACCAAAGCTCTGAGGTTAACTACCCTTGGCCCCCACCCCTTAGAAGGCAGATAAGCACCACCTTTCTTTACTCAAGATGTCTGTTTGGGGTATCCTCGTCCCCACCCCAAGTGGCTTATGCAAGTATTCCTTCCCATCACATCTAGTGCCTTTCCTAACAGGAGTACTGGATAACAGTCTTGTCTCCATCTCTTTATCTTTCCATCCATTTCCCACCCACTGGTCCTCTCTTCCTTTATGTTTTGGTAGTAGTGGTGTTTCCCTCTCTCATCCTCCTGTCCATGTTTTACACACACACACACACACACACACACACACACACACACACACACACACACACACACACACTCCCTCTTCCCCTCCCCCAGTTATCTACAGACCAAACCTAATCACACCATTTTGCTGCTTGAAATTCTCCTGTGGTGCCTCAGTGGCTTGTAGGGTGTCCCCTGAACCCTTAGTGCAGCTCACCACCCCTGCAGGGCTCTGGCAGATTTCAGAGGTTAGTGCCCAGGAATCTGCCCACCTCGGCCACCCTTTAATTCAGCACAGCCTCAGCATATAGCTCTGTTACATTAGAAAATAATGAATAAAGGAATGTTTGACAACATGAATAACTGAACAAATGAATAGAATAACAGAACTCCAAGTAAGAGGTAGCGAGGGGAGATAAAGGTGGCGACTGGGTTGAGTGACACACTCAGGGACGGCTCTGGGTATGCAGGGAGAGACTGGCTTGGGAGTCAGAAACGCTGTGTCCAGAAGGGAAGGGCAATGCCCACGTGTGTGGGTGGCTGGAGCCCTTACACAGCGGCTTTGGAGACAGTGGTCAGGCAGGAAGGGCATCCTGGGAGAGGGTAGGGGTGGAAAAAGCAGGAGCCAAGTTTAAGGGCGGGAAGCAAGGCTGCCAGGAGCTCTACCCCAGGATCTCCAGAGCCTCACCTACTCCCAAGGTAGCAGAGCAGCTCATCAACCCGTTTGGAGAGGATGATGATGACTTTGAGACCAACTGGATTGTCGACAGGAGTTTGCAGGTATGGGGTGGGGAAGGGGCCTGTCCCATGGACCCTCCCCAAACTGGACCCAGGTAGGGAGACCCCTCAGTTCTGTAGGAAGGCCTGACAGTGAATTGCCTCACCCCCTTCTCCCACAACCATTCCCATTCGCTCACGGGATTCTCACCCCAACTTTTGAGGCTGCAAGTAGGTGTCAGTCTATTTCACAAGTTGGGAAACTGAGGCCCAGAGAGATGGAAATGACCTTTCCAAGTCATCTAGCAAGTTCTTGGTCCTGCTGACCTTTCTGTTGGACTTCTTCTGTCCCTGGCGACAGGTGTCCCTGTTGGCTGTGGATGAGATGCACCAGGACCTGCCCCCGATGGAGCAGGACATGTACTGGAACGATCGCGAACCACAACCCCCCTACACAGCTGCTTCTGCCCAGTCTCGTCGTCCTTCCTTTTTTGGCTCCACTTTCAATATCAGGTGGGCAGTCCCAGCGAACCACTTCAGTGGGTAGAAACCCCAAGTGCAAGTGCCTGCCTAGGAACTTAAAATAGCCTAGTTAATGCATATTGGGTGCTTGCTAAATGTTGAGCACTGTCCTTAGCTCTCTATATGTTAACTTTTTTTTTTTCTTTCCAATAATCTTTGTTTGCTATCTCCAGTTTTCAGATGATGAAGTCCAGGTTCAGAGAGGTTAAGTAAGTTGCCCAGCCCACGGTCACATAGCTAGCAAGCAGCACTTGTGGGTCAGGTATGTCTGACTGACCTCCACACTTTTCACTCTCACTGTGCACTGCTTCAGGACTCTTAGGTACTTCCAGTCTAAGCCCCCCGCCCCGTGTCCAGAGTTGGAAACTGAGGCCCAGAGAGAGAAGGGACTTACTCGAAGGTAGTGACCAGTGATGCAGTTGGGATGTCAGGGCATGGTCCCTGACTCTGGTCCAGAACTGTGTTTTCTGATAAGCCAGGGTATTTGCATGGGGAGTTGAGTGTGTGTGGGAGGGTGTCCCTGGGATGGGGGAGGGGCAGCAGGCATATTACAGCAGGAGGCTGGGTCATCACAGGTATCTTTGGGGTAGACTGTGCTACAAAGGCCTCAGATCACCCACAACAGCCAAACTTTCCTCCAGGTGGGTCCCGTTTCCCTGGTTTGGTCAGAATCCCTTTTGAGCTGCTGCTGGCCCACCGTGGTCTAAAGGGCCGCCCCAGACAGCTCTCTCCCCCCAGGATGAGAATGGAGCAGACTTTGGTGCATGTCAGGGTCCATTATCTTCAAGGTTTCCTTCCACAGTACTGAGCTATGTTCTCTTCTTGCTCGAATATCCTATTAAGCTATAATTAGAATTAGCTAGAGTTCCCTAGTTGGTGTAAGCAAGATTTAGAAAAGTGATCAAATGAAGGCTTGCTTAGGTCAGAAACATTTCTGGAGGTTGTCTTTGAGCTCTACACCGTCAGTACTCCAGCAGCTTCAGGTTGGGGAGGACGGGGAGTAACAGAAGAATAATGTGTAGGCCTTGCCTCCAAGGGACACACAATTTAGTGAGGGCGCTCAAACTCTGGATACACAATACAGGTACTGGATGCCTGGGAAAGGACAGAGCATAGAAGAGAGGCCACCTGGGAGGTAGCCTCCAGCTGGGCCTGGAGACGGACCTTGGCACATGGGGAGACAATGGACACGGGCAAGGGCAGGCCACACTCTGTGGTAGGTGGGCTTTCTCTTGCAGAGCGAAAGCCTTGGGCTCCCAGGAAGCCAGACTTTTCTCCTTGGGGATGCTGCCCCCCAGTTGCAACCACAAATCATTGGCTTGCTCATAGTCACTCCTGGGCTTCATCTAACTGTCCCTGCCCGGGTACCAATAACTCAGATTGCCTGGAGTGAGGATAGTGAAAGGGAACACGACGGTGATGAAGAGCAAGCCCTTACACGCCAGGCTAGGCAGTTTGGATGTTAACGTGGGAAAGGGAGCCACAGAACAGTACCTGAGCTGGGCCAGGAGGGATTAGTCCGAAGTGACAGGATGGATCAGGGCCTTGTGAGGAAGGCTGTGTTTTTGGCTTTGGGCCAGGAGAGAGAAGGGGTGAGAAAGGTCAGGTTTTGTCCTTTGTTCGCGCCACTCATCCCTGTCTCTGCTTCTTCCAGTCTGCATAAGGAAGAGATGGAGTTCCAGCCAAACCAGGAGGAGGAAGCGGAGGAAGAGGACCCTCACACTGGCATCATCGGCCGCTTCCTGGGGCTGCAGCCCCATGACCACCCCCCACACAGGGCAAGCTCAAAAGCCAAACTACTTTTGCCCAAGAAAGAAGTCCACCATGAGGGCCAGCCTGAGAGCCTCGCGGGAACCAGCAAGAGCGCCAGGGACCAGCAAGACAGCGAGGCCCGGAAGATGAGTGGGGAGGACGCCTTCAAGTCCGATGCCCTGTATGGAAGGTCCGGCTACCACAGTGCCCCACAGACACCCCTCAGCTCCACCCCAATGGTCTTCCCACCCGGACAGTCAGCACCCTCAAGTCTTCACAGAATCTCAGGCATAGATGGCAATGTGAAAGACCAAAGCCTACAGCCTGTGACTCCTGGGACCAAGACGAGTTTTGAATTGCTCCTGGAGTATGCTGGGGCCTCAACGGAGCACCCAGAATTGTGTCATATGAAGAGGAAAACTGTGGAGTTTAACCTGACGGATGTGTCAGAGGCCCCTGAAAGTCATCTCAGAGAACCACATAGACGATTTACAAGCAAGGCGCACGTTCTACTCAATGAGCAAGATCCCTATTGGGCCTTGGAAAACAGGTCTGTCCTCCCCCCACACCAGAGGCACTGCACTCCCTCCGGTGGGTGGCCCGCACCAGCTTCCCTTGCTCTGAGCCCACCCTTCTTCCACAATTTTCTTATGGTACAATCACTGCCAGAGCTGGCTGGACCTATGCCCAGCACTGGCTTGGGGTATGCATTTGGCCACCTCAGCAGGGGCCCTAGGGAAGTGTTGGGGACTTTTTGCTCATTTTATCCAAGAGTCTGGCATCACCAGGAAGTCCCGGGGACCCAGGTGAAGGAAGATGAGGTTGCACAGACAGGAATGATGCTGGAGGAAGGGCTACCAGGACAGGCTTAGAGGAGCAGATGCTATCACTGGATCCAGCTCATTCTGAACAGGGGTGGCAGACGTGGGGCAGAACTGGGGGCTCTAGGTTATAGCCCAAGAACTCCACTCACTGCCCAGCATGAGCACTCCCCTGATGCACTCCTGCAGGGTGCCGCCTCTAAGAACTGGCAGATGGTTAAGGTGAGGGCACGCAGGACCCTTGGAGAATCTTACTGCTTCTGGGACCTCACCAGACTTCTGAACTTAAACGGGCTCTTCCTGCTTCCTTGGGGTCAATCCAAAGCTGTAACTAAACCACCAATATTCCCCTTTATTCGGTAATTCCTGGACACTTGCCCAATTACAGATCCACCCTACCCCTCCACTAATCATGATATGGGAAAGTTTAACTTTCTATTTCTAGATTCTCATTACTTCTGTGGTCAGAATACACAGCTTTGTGATTGAAAACTTGAAAGGGCTACAACCTGTCTTGCTAAGGCTAGACAGAAACTTTTACAAATCACTGTGGCTTGTTTAGGAAAGGGTGTTAATAGCTCTGCAGTCTCCTGACACTGGTTTTTAATATTAAGAAGTCTTAGCCTTTGCTTTCCTACTGCAGCTAATTTTGTACTGAAATGAATGCAGGTGTCTGCTGTACTCATGTTGTAAATTTTCTCCAATTCTCAGTAGGGATGAAGCACATGCCTAGCCTGTTTTCCAAGGGGGATGCTTCACCAGCCTGGTCCTGCCTGTGTGTACACCAATGGAACACTGATCCAGTCATAGCCATATAGCTGTCCATACTGAAGAATTCGGTCCTATGACAGCCTGAATTAAGTGGTTAGCTCAATGAATAACAAAAATCCGTAGTTTCAGGACTACTTTACTTAACCCTTTGACTTTCATACGTAAAAATTACAAAAGCTAGAATGAACCACTGGAAGGAAACATGTAATTCCAAACACCTAATTCTGAATCAGGAGTCCTTAAGTCCTGTCTGAAATCAGCACAAGAGCCTTGGTACCTTTTCCAAACTTTGGAGTTTCACACAATTAAGGATGAATAAACTAAGGATTTTCCTAAGTACAAATCCTCTTAGGCGTACTTCATTTTGACTGCTGTGACTGAACTGTGGGCCTAGATATACTTCTAGCCCACCCCCAAAACTCAAAAGACAACAGCTGGGTACCAAATTACTTTATTTGAAGAAATGGTACAAATGAAAGAATGTAAGTAGATGATTTGGTACAACTTATAGAAAGGTCAAGGTAACCCCAACATGCATGTACTGCTTTGGTGACCGGGAAGTCACCCCCGTGGCTACTGGAAGCCAGCCAAAGCTTAGCTTGCATTACTGTCTCCCAGGGTGTGCTTTTCAAAGAGATACTCTGCCATGCCAGATTCAGGGGCCCCCATCTTGCGTAAGTTGGTAACGTGGTCACCCAATTCTTTGATGGATTTCACCTGCTCGTTCAGGTAATGCGTCTCAATGAAGTCACACAACTAGAACAGAATGGGGAAGAAAGTTACTGGTAAGCTTTCCCAGCCCCTAAAGAAAACGATGTCCTCCATTCATTCCCAGGTTGTCAGTACTCACATGGGCATCATTTTTGTCAGTGGCCAGTTTGTGCAAATCCAGCAGTGACTGATTCACACTTTTTTCCAAGTGTAACGCGCACTCCATTGCAGTCAGCCCATTGTCCCAGTCGTCACGTTCTGGTTTCTGAATGAAAGGAAGTTAGGTCAATGCATCTATAATTTCTACCAATTAAACCCTGACAATTAATTCAGCAGGCACCTAACATGTAACCACGGAGCTTCGGCAAAAGGGACATCTGAGTTTCCCCTGCCGACGGTTTCCAATTTAACATCCTTGCTCATTACTATGTGCCTATTTTAGCTTAGATGGTAGGCCTGAAAAAGCACAAAACACAAAAGCTGAAAGTATCTTCATTTTAAGAGGGCAATTACTAGTTTTTGAGTGATTTCTGACACCTGAGGACTGCCAGATAGATTATGCAAATGTGACATCCGTAGGATCTTTTGTTTACCTTGACATCCTGAAGGAAGATTCTGCCACCTCTCTGGTTCTGCAGCTTCATCAGTTTCTCAGCATGTTCCCTCTCCTCATGAGATTGGTGAAGAAAATATTTGGCAAAGTTCTTCAGAGCCACATCATCGCGGTCAAAGTAGTAAGACTGGTAAGGGGAACATGAACATGTTACCTTAGGAGCCAGGTTGTGAAACAAAAGTTAGTTTCTACTCTAAAATACAAAAATGAAACCTGGTCCCTGAAACGCAAAGTTTACCACAAGGAACCTTTACAATACCCTAGGAATTGCCTCCAGTATGGAATGTCTTAAGGGCCTGTACTACTGCAAAGTTCTTCTGGCCAGTGTCAAATTTCACTGGAGAGGGTGCTGGAGTATTTATCATGCATTATTAGCCCCTCCTCCCTGATTAACCCATGTTAAAACATGAGCTTGCCAGCTTAAGGCAGACTGAAGGATTTCTAAAATTAACTTACTAGGCAAGGTGACAATTATGTGCAATGCTAATGTAGGTAAATATATTACCAGTAGAAAGCTAAAATTTGATTCGGTTTGAGACACTTGCTGTATTCAGGCGTTCCTCAAATGGAATGGCAGTCATAGAAATCCAGGCCTGTTTTCAAGAACATGTCTATTTTTGGATAATCTGGACGATCCTAATACAATTCTAACAAAAACTCCCAACACACCAACTAAAACCAGGGTTTTGAAAACCTGATTCCACTGATTACTACAGAGAAAAATTCCTTGCTCAGTCACTGTTGGTGGGCTTTATCCAATAACTTAGGGTTCAATTAGATGGCTACAACTCTTATTAGATACAAAAAAGATAAAGAATTAAGTACCCAGGCACTAGGACAGGTGACGAAGACAACGTCCTAGCCACAGAAAGGGAGATTCTAGAGATAGGCTTCAATTCAAGTGGGACTTAGGAGATAAGCAGAGCAGAGGGGTGGAGACAGCTGCTCGGGAGTGGTCGGCCCACGCGAGATAAGCCACTGAGCACCGCACCACCAGCCCCCAAGGTTGCTTGCTATTCGACACCATTACCCAGGAGGCTCCGCCATTAGCTAGGGGGATGGGAGCTGGACTTCGTCGTCCTATACTCAAGAAAACGGAGGGTCTCAGAGACACGTGATCAGACGCAGAGGAGGGAATGGAAATGCAAAAAATCCACCTTCCCGTAACTTCCTAACTGCAGGACTGTGTAGGCTGTCAGTGCCGCAATCCAGGGATTTTAAGAAACCAGACTCTCCTCAAACATAAAGGGATGCGCAGAGGAGGCCTTTGCCTATGACGAAGTCCTCCCAGGGGACAGTCGGCAAGCGCTAACTGCCCAGAATTTCTGCGCAAGACAAGTCCTGGGAGACCTGGGGCCGCCTCCATTTTTCCCGAAGGGCGCATGGAGGCGGGAGGCGCCCCGTAGCCACACCCCCCGCTCCGCCCCCCGGGAGGCCTTCCCCCGCCCCTCGCCCCGCCGCTGGGCTACGCCGCGCCCGCTTACCATGGACAGGTAGACGTAGGAGGCGTACAGCTCCAGGTTGATCTGGCGGTTGACGGCGGCCTCCGAGTCCTGGTGGTAGTTCTGGCGCACCTGCGAGGTGGACGCGGCCGTCATGGTGGGCGGCTAAGGAGAGGCGGCGGCGGCTCGGCGGCGCTGGAGCGGTGGCGGGAACCTGAGGGCGGCCGGAGGGCGCTGTGGGGAGGTGGCGAAGGCTAGAGCGGAGAGGCCGGCGGGATGGTGGATTGAGCGCCGGGTTCCGTCCAAGCACTGTTGAAGCAGGAAACCACGGCAACTCCGGGCGAAGGCTGTGGCGCAGGCGGCTGCCTCCGCGCTTTTATAGCGGGAGCGGGCGTCAGGCCCGCATTGGCCAATCAGGCGGACGGCCCGCCGCACCGGGGCCCCGTCTTTTCCGGTGGGCGTGAGGCCCCGCCCCGCTGGGGCGGTGGGGGAGGGGAGCCCCGGAGGCGCGGCGTGTGTGGCGGTGTGCGCGGCGGGGGAGGGCGGCGGTGCGCTCTGGGGCGCGTTGGGTGGCTTTGAAGGGACATCCTGGGGAGGGACTTCGGGAAGCCCAGCTCGGAGCCCGCGTGGCCTCGAGGGTCTTGGAACCGACGGGAAACTGCCCCTGGCCCCGGGGCGTCAGGGCGATTCTAGTCCCCAACGGCACCCCGAGGCTCTGGGCCAAGGGCTTGTTAATCGGAGCGGCAGAGCAGCAGTTAGCGCACCCCGAGGTCATTACCTCGTCACGCAAATTGGGAAACTGGATATGGAAACATGGGCCCTAGGAGGCCGAGCGAGTCGGGTTGAACTGGGAAAGGGCACACTTTCTCTTCCTCAAAGTCTAAGCAGCAGCAAAATGGAGGCGGGAGTGGGGGGCCTACGGCCACCTCTGATCCGCCCCCGCCCTCCCGCCTTTTGCTGAAAGCAAACATGGCTCCTGGTGCAGTTTATGCAACAAAGGCTGGGCGGGCCGTGTTTTCCTGACAGACATGAAACCGCTTTCCCTATGGGAGTGGTTGGGATGAGCCACCTGGGCCTGAGAAAAATCCTTGGTGGCGCTTTAAAACTCAGATCGAAGGTTAGAGAAAGAAGAGACTTTTCGGATCTGGGGGCGATGCTGTGTGGCCATTTTGCGATGGCGTCTTTTTATCAGGTGTGGCTTGCGTCAGGGACTTTGGAGGGGCAGGTCCGCTGCGTGGGGCTTGCAGCTGTGACCCAGGCATGGAGTGGGTGTGAATTCGTGGGTGGCAGAACTAGAGCCGGGCCCGAGTTGCAGTCCCCCAGTGTGCCGGCTTCGAAGTTCACCATTAGCCAGGTGCTTCCACACATAGGGGAGACTTAGCGAAGACCCTTTTCAGGATGCTAACAAACCTGAAACTGGAAGCTGGACTTCCAAACCTAAAAGAAACTACTAAAATTGTTAAACCAAGTTGCTGATGGAATTATGGCACTTTCTCTTGGGTCTTTATTCATTTCAGAATAAACGTGTTACTTTCGGGGGGGAAAAAAATTAGTGGGCCTAGAGCTTGAATCAAGGAAGCAAAAGGATGCTGGGAGAGTAGACAAATGGTGCCTTACTCCGTCTGGGATAGGAGGTCAGGGAAGGTTTCCCTAAGAAAGGAACGCTTGGGCTTTGTGAAGAAAAAGTTAAAAGGAAGGTGACGTGGAGGAGGGAGATGAGGGAGGGCATTCCAGGCCGAGAGAACAGTATATGCAAAAGCGCAAAGGTGTGGAAATGCGTGGCCGGTCCAAGGTACTTCAAGAAAGTGTATAGGCCTGGAAAGTCGTCACGTTGGAGAATGCTGGAAGGGTAGGATAGGGGCCAGGTCAGGAAGGATTGTGTGCCATAAAAAGGGGTTACATTTTATCCTGGGTGACATGGAAACACTAGGATTTCTACCACATTAGTTTTGTTTTCAGAAAACTTACACTGAATCAACAGAAAAACTATTAGGATAAGAGTATAACAAGTCACCAGTTGCAAAGCTTTCCTATATAATAATAACCATCAGTTTTAAAATGTACTGAAAGAATTTTTTTTTTCCATTTACACTGGAAACGAATGCTTAAAGTACTTAGGAATAAAGGTAACAAGAAATGTGTGAAGAAAACTATAAATGTTTACTGCTGGACAGAAAAGAAAAACTTCCATCAATGAAGAGACACTGTTTCTAAAGAACCAGCCTCAGTTTTGTAAAGATGTCAGTTCTCCCAAAAGAAACCTATAATTTCAATGCGATTTCTATAAAACTTTGGTTTTTTTTGGTTTTGTTTTTTTTTGGCAGGGGGAACTTGGCAAAATGATTCTAAAGTTCATTTGGAAGAGTAAGTGTGTAGAATAGGTGATAAGCATGTAGGGGGTTATGGGGGGTAAATTTGCCCTCTGTGATATATATATATATATATATATATATATATATATATATATATATATATATATATATATATATATATAAAGTATAAGGTACTATGAGCAGTTGGTACTGGCAGAGGAAGAGCTGACTACATCAGTGCAATGAAACAACCCTACCCGCATATGTATAGGAAGTTGGTAGATGCTAAACTGGCACTTTAGGGAAGAAGGAATGGGATCAACAAATTATGTTGAAACAATTGATAGTCATGTGGAAGAAAATGACTCACTATTTCAAAACATGTTCCTGCTGGATTAGAGGTTCAAGCCTCAAAAAAACCTATGAAGTTACTAGAAGAATATATAGAAG